CTATGATGTTTGTTGACAACAACTATGCCTCACTTAACATACGTCACGCACTCCGTTGCTCTTATTGGTTGTAGGTCTATCCAATTGAGTGCAGAGGCATTTTTTTTCCTGGTTCGTTCGAAACATGCCCCATAATCACAGCTCTATGGAGCAGTATCAGACTTATATTCTGACTAGAATTGAGTTGGACTACGTCAGGCTAAAGGAATAGGCCCACAACTGATAAAATCCAAAACTCAGTGTGGAGAATCTTTGGACACGAAATGAATCCAAATGATCATTTGATATGGTTATGTTTATTTACCTACTGTCTATAGTAGGACTGTAAAAATAAGTCGATCCACAATGATCAACTAAATGACAATAATCTGGTTACAGTGAAGGAAAATGAAAACACTGATCCAAAAATAACCATTAATTTTGAAATTCACATGAGACAAGACTATATTGAACAGGCGACGTACTTTGATTAAATGCCTCGTGCCTGTTAGAACTTGAAAATGCAATGGTCATATCATAATTGAGTTGTTGTTTTTAAGTTGATAACGATGTAAAAATTATGTTAGATATGCAGATGATAAGACATCATATCAACCACAGACTTGCGATCTGAGCTGAATGGAAATCGTACTTGACAGCTTGTGATGTTGCAAACCATTGTATCCTCTTCACTATAACATGTATCATGTTAAAGCTGGTTATGTACAATCCTAGTTTGTAGTACAGTATCTTTGACAAACCACATTAAAATTTGAAAAGCCAACATCTCTGGGTTTGAGCTTGGAGCTAAAGAGAGAAAATCTGTCTCTAAAGAAGTTTAAAGATAGAAAGTGTGTTTGATTTCTTAATATATAAAGATAGTTTATTCCATAGATTTGGTGCAATGGCAAAGAAAGCTCCTCTCTGCCCATGCATGATAAGCAAATAAAACTTTCCAAAATCATTAGAAAAATCAACCTTTAGCCGGTTAATTTCTTTTAAAAGGAAGACAATGTGCTCAGCATTTTCAACCAGAGTATTGGACCTGAAAGTTACTTTTAAATAAACTACAGAAACCCAAAATGTTGCACACTGGTCAACGGATATTTCAATTAAAAAAAGAAAAAGCATATTCCCATTTTAGGAACATATGAACTTTCTAAAAAAGAATGAAAAATGGATTGAGGACTTCAAGTATTTAATGCTAGATTTCAGTTTTATCTTGAGTCAAAACCATCCTTCCAGAAAAAACCTCAGTAATCACACATGGAGCAACCTCAGAGGGATATAACCTGTTTTGCAGTTAGCCAAGGCTGACTCGAGCTTCCCCCGGGAGCAGACACCTTAATGTACTCCATAGGAGATGAGTAATACATTTCATCTCTACTAGTATATGAATTTGCCTTTAATCATTGCACAACAGCCACATTCCCAACTGGAAAGGCTCCCAGGGGACCCTTACCTGAACCAATTACTGTGTGACCAACGGCAGAAGCAGAGAAATGGTTTTAATTATGCACAGGTGAGACCCACAGGAGCAACAAGGTAGTCGAAACACTTTATTATCGACGCAGGTGTTCCCAGCAGATCAACCTGGAACTGCTTACTTAGTTTAAATGAGGAATAAACACCAGTTAATTCATCCAATTCCAGAGTGTAGGAAACCATGTTTGGATGTTCCTGCAAACATGCATTGCTTTGTATGGCTGTTTAAAGGCTTGAAGTTGTTTTCTTTTATTTTACTTTAAAGGAAACAGGACAGCTTGCAATATGCCAGAATAGTTTTGAT